TGGACCTCAGAACCCAGCAGAACCTGAAGCTGCGGTTCGGTCCATGTTGGACCTCAGAACCCAGCAGAACCTGAAGCTGCGGTTCGGTCCATATTGGACCTCAGAACCCAGCAGAACCTGAAGATGTTGGTTCGGTCCATATTGGACTTCAGCAGATGTTCGGGTCTAGCTGTCCAGGACCTGGGACGTGGACGAAGCGGTTCTGACTGACGGCTGTGTCCTCTGCAGGCTCCTCTGTGATGGAATGATGTCAGCGCAGGGTGGGGCTGGTTCCGACCCACTGGCCGGCCAGGATGCACAGGAGGTTCTGCTTCCTGTTCCTTCTGACCTTCTGCTCCCTCCTCGTCCTGCTCATCCCAGCCCTCCAGTCTCCAGAACATCATCTGGACCCGCCTCAGCCACGACCCCAGAACCGGTCCGCCAGGCCACCTCACCGCGGCACTTCTGGGGAAACGGACCAAGGAGCGACTGTTAGAACCCAACCGCTGGGTCTGCGGCCCGGGGACAGGCTGGACCTGAAGGACATCTTCATCGCCGTGAAGACCACCAGGAAGTACCACCGGTCCAGACTGGAGCTGCTGATCCAGACATGGGTGTCCCAGGCCAAGGAGCAGGTGAGGGTCCATCAGGCTGGACCGGGAGGTTCTGGACCAACTAGGAGGTTCTGGACCGTCCGGGATGATCTAAACTGGTCCAAGCTCCTGCAGAATTTGAACTTTCCGTCTTAGGTGTGGGCTGAGCGAGCAGCTCTGGGTCCTGGTTCTGACCCAGGGTCTGCTGGATCTCAGGTCCAGGTCTGTTGCTGTAGAATTAGAACTGAACCAGAACCTTTAAACCTGTAGAATTAGAAGCATCCAGCCGGTTCGATTTAATCATCTCTCCTCGTCTGGACCTTGTTCTGTCAGCCCACCTGTGATTGGCTACCTTCAGGAAGTCCCGCCTCTTCAGGCTGCTCCCTCTTTCCTACTAGCAAAGCAACTTCAGAGTAATCGCTGCAAGCAGAGTCCTCATATGGGGGTTCCGCCATTTTAGATAAGTGTCGTTTAGTGGATCAAAAAGCAGTGGACTCAAAATTTCCCACAATGCACCTTGAAAAGTAGTGATTATTTATTAGATAAGCAGATAAATCCCAGCATTCTGGGATTTGTTGAAAGAACCAAGATGACGGAAGTCATGTGACCAATGGAGCAAAAAGCAGTGATCATCTGTCTGAACGATCAGTTAACTGAGTTCACCATAAAGTTCACTATATAGTCATAGATCATGGTAAATTGTTCTGGATGAAAACTGGATTCTGATTGGCTGTAGGGCATCCATTAAAGCTATAGAGGAGGATCTTTCATTTCCGGGTGGATCATCTCAATCAGTGGTCCTCCTAACTCTCCATCATACTGGTGATCTGTTCCCG